GTCAGAGATTTAATGACACGAACAGAGATTCACACACTAGAACCCAGCACAAAGTCAAGGTGGGGAGGGTCCTCTCCCGTGAAAGCCACTGTCCTATGGATCACCATGTTGTTTTGTTTATCTTGCCTTATTTATCTAGACAGAAGAGCCAGACAGCAGCAGATGAAATGCTGGTTACCCCATCCTGCAATTAGGCAGGCAGGGACTGAGTTGGATACAGGCAGGGACTGAGTTGGATGCCTGGCCCATCTGCCTTCCCCAGTTTGTAACCCATTCACTTAGCCTCTCACATTAGCTCTAAGAAGGCTGCTTGAAGACTGAAAGCCAGGTTAAACGCTGTTTCCTCGATTTGCCACACATCCTTCAACCTTGGGATGACAACAATTAGATGCATTTGTTTTTTTTTTTTTTTTTTGCACAAGTTCCTTCCTACCAAACATTAACAATGAATGAAGGACTTTGAAACATAAATCAGCCTTGGAGAGAGTGTAAATGGCTCAGGAGCCCCACCCCAAATAAGGGAGGCTTGACAAGTCCTGGCCATCGGATAGTTGGCCATCCTTACTAATGGGCCCACCCCTGTTGCTGCCCGATCCACCCTCCAAGGGTGTTGTCTGCAGTCACCTGGCTGCCATGGAGCCCTTCATGCTTTCCCACACTTCTGCCCACTCATCTCCTAGGAATTCTGGGACCTCAGAGGGATTTATTCACTGCTTCACGGCTACAAGACAGGGTTTTTCTGAGATCAACCATCCAGTACAAGGTAACAGTAACCATACTGGAAGAGGAACACACCAACACTAGCCAAATCAAAGCCAAAAGAAGGGTGCACATTCATCCCAGATGGAACTAGGAGGGTTTCCATGCATATTTGACAAGCACAAAGTGTTTCCTCCAGCCAGAGCTAGTCTAAGGTGATCGAGGTTATCCTTGCTATAACAGGAGAGAAGGGGACAGAGGTTAAAAATCCTGCACATGGCCATAAATAGCAAAGGACAGAACAGGATGTAATCCCAGCTAGCCCTAAACCCTGTACTTCTCCATATTTCACAGGCTACCTTCAAATAAAGAAGGAGGCATCTCTAGAGCAAACCCAGAGTTCTGCGGGAGCAGAATCTAAGGTCACACAAACAAAAATCCCAGAAGACTACTTTGTACAGGAGAGCCCCCAGGAGTTGACCTGATAACCAGACATGTAAGAGCCTCTAAGTACCTTCCAGATTTAAAGTTATCTGATTCTAGGGCTGTACCCAAACCCAAGGGGAATGGAGCTAGTCACATACCCCGGCACTCAGTCCTCCCCAGAACCTGAAGGCAGTGTCAACCAACCCTAAAAGACTCCCATTCTGTGGCTCTTGGGTCCCCTGAAAGTATTGATCTGGTAGTCAACAGTGCACCTAAGGAGTTAAACATACCCAAGACCACTTTACTGTCCTCACTATTAGTTCCCAAGTGCCCCCATGGGCATTCCCATCGGGTCTCCAGTTGCTGTCAGGAGGTTGATTCTAGCTGTATGTCTGGCTAGACTCAACCAGGCAACTTAGCAGACCCTGAGCATCCTCTGCAGCTCAGAACAGTTTGTCTCTGGAGGTTAAATTCTAAAGTCTGCCTTCAGGGCAAAAGACAAATGTCATTTAAAAGAAAAAAAAATCACTCCTGAAAAATCCCTTAGCTGAGACTTGTTCACTAAGCTAGAAAATAAGAATTTTTATGTCTCTTTGCATCATGCATATAGCTTCCCTTTCCCTAGAGACTGCAGACCCTGAGCCCTGAACAAGGAATGGCAAAGCAGATGGCTCCCTCTCTCTCCCTTCAGCAGGAAGAGTGATTTCACAACTTAAACTGAGTGTATGGTTTAACCTCTTTGTATCTGGAAGGCATAGCTAGGTGCTCTCTGACAAAGAGGAGCCTAAGGTCCCCTGCCCTCACAGAACCTATAACCCAGTTAGAGATTACATCATCCCCTGAAGATGAATAAAGCTTTAAACCTCAGAACTGCCACACATGTGCTGCCCACATTCAAGGGATGAAGAAACTGCTCTAGGGTAGGATATTTCTTGGGATCTGATTTTTTTTTTTAAGATGGGTTGACTCAGCACAAATCATTGTTTCATGCATACCTGGTAAGCAAAATAACAGGCCCCATTGTCCCTAATTAAAATGCAGAAGAATTCTGCATATTGGCCATATTGGTCACAGAAATGTTAAATCCAGGTCCTTAATCCACATACAACAGAATTCCAGTACTTCCCAAGTGTAAAACCTTAAACAGTATTGTACTGTTTATTTCCTCTAAGTCTCCTTGTGGCTGCTTCTCCTGACTCTCAGGCTTCAAGGTGACACAGCAGTTCTTAGAAGATGGCCCTGAGCCACGCGGCACTCTGCTAGAAGGGATGAATGCAAGGAAGCAAGTGACCCCTGGGTAGAGATAGTCACATCATTTGGCCATTAGGAGTTTGATCCATAGCCAGTTGCAATAAGGGTAAAAAGGAAGAAAGTTCATGCACTGATACTTAAATAGATAGCCCTGACCTATACAAGAAGCAGCTCGATGAATCAACACACATTTCCAGAATTCAGCAGCTTGCCAATTTCTCTACATCTGAAGGACATTTCTGATTTTTCCTCTTATAGATAGCATAAGCACGCGCCAGAAATACCACCTCCCAATCCAGACTTTGAAAAAGATTCTGTTCAAGTAGCTATAAGACTTTGAGTAAGACACTTCCTGACCTTTGGCTTCTGTTTCTTCATCTATAATGGGACAAACAGACTAGATGATCTCAGTTTAGGAAATAGGACTTTTAAAGGCGGAATGTCACAAGATCAAGTAAAACCAACAACCAACACCCAGAGAGAACAGAAGTAACAGTAGGTCTGGGAAGCTCCTGGAAAATAGTGCGTAGAGTAAATGACCAAAAGACCAACCCAAAAGAAAACGAAGATTCGGAGTCAAGTAGAATCTCTCCAGGAGCGGACCTCCTCCCAGGTTCTGCCTTGTGTCATGTGGAGATTCATTCCTTCCCAGAAGAGCTGAGTGAGTCACAGGCTGGATATACCCAAAGCCCTAGCCATGCACCTTTAGAGATGACTGAACCCCACCTGCCCAGGACAGACTGAAGATTGCGGGGCTCACACCCGACCTCAGTCACTCACCTCTCTAATAACCTATGGGACTCTAACATGACTAATCTCCTGGAAACCTGGATGCTGCGTCGAGTACCTAATTCACCTGACCATCCCAAAGTTCAGCAATACCCAGTGTCACTGAATATATAGGGGGGGGGGGGGGGGAAACTTATGTTAGGTTTTCTGTAACCATGCATTTATCTGATATTCCCACAGACCTTCTGTCTCAAAGTCACTGTTCAGGAAGTTTGCTTCTGCAATGACTTGAAGTCTGAGGTAAATTAAGTTACTTTGGAGTTCATAAATGTGATCGAGAGTTTAGGATATTAATTACCCAAGCAAGGGCCTTCGGTTTTAATGTGAGGCAGTCTGAGAATCACAAATGCTGTGTAATTCCAGGCATCTAACATAACAGGCCCACAATTTCTACTTTTTTTTTTTTTTTTTTTTTTGGTTTTTCGAGACAGGGTTTCTCTGTGGCTTTGGAGGCTCTTGTAGACCAGGCTGGTCTGAACTCACAGAGATCTGCCTGCCTCTGCTGAGATTAAGGGTGTGTGCCACCACCCCCCAGCCCAATTTCTACTTTTAAACGAATCACCATCAACATTTCCATTTAAGCAGCAGGTGTCCATGGGGGGGGGTAGGACACGGGACACAGGACACACACTGGGCAGTTTGCATGCTCTTTTAATCTTCACAACCACCCAAGGAAGCAGAAACATCTCCACTCTACAAGTGAAGAAACTACCGTTTAAAGCAAACGAATAGCAGCAGCATAAGTGGCCAAGAGGAAACCTAAATTCAGCTTTCCACCTCTCCCACCCCACCCCAGCCCCCAGTTCCCTGAGATCTTCCCAATGGATCCGGAAACTGGGCCCAGTGTCCCATCAGGGTCACTGGCTGTCCTTTACACCCACATCCTTCTCTGTAAAAGGAAGCCATGGGGGTGATGGGGGCTGTGTGTGCTGACTCCTTAGAGCGCCTATGCTACTCTTGAACCTGGGATGCTTTGACAGGGTGAGAGGTACCAGACACAATCCACAGCCCGAGATGCAGTTCTGTGCACAGCTCCCTGACAGTGGGTCTGTCTCTACGCAGCTGAGGGTCTGGCCAGCCACTGCCCTCCACCAGCCTCCAAGGAGTACTTAAAGGCCTCAGGCCTCAGCCTCAAGAGGAGCTGCAGCAGCTGTAATAGCAGAGAAACCCAGCGGCAGTGACAAGTTTTAGCAGGCCCAGGGCTGCTGCTTTAATGACAACAGATTCCTGACTAAAGGCACAATTTGCAATCTCCATCCCAAGGACATTTCTTGCTCCACTTATCCCCCATGGCAATGTCTGCTTGGGCTTGTCTCAGGAAGTCAGCCTCTGTGGTCTCTGACACCGGGAAAATGTCAAAGAGAAGGAATGCTTTCCCTCTGTGGGCCCACAATCACTTCTCCATGTGGGTAACGTGTGTCTGTCACACATGTTTTGAGACATGTGAGACATGTGTGACAGGGGGGAAAAACTTTCACTTCAGATTTACAGCGTACCAACAATTATTTCCGAGAGAAAGCAGACTGAGACCCTCTTCCTGCGTGGGACCACCCCACCCACAGCGGATTTCTCTGCTTGGTGTCATCAGGAAAACCTGACCTTAAGATTCTCAAGTCCACTACACGCATAAACTTCAAAGTTGTTAACTAGCTGAAATCGGGGTTGTCTCCAGTTAAAAATCATATTGGCCTCTCCCTCCCCCTTGACTGCACTCTGCCCTCTCCGCTCTGCTGGTCCTGGAAGGACCTGGGTTCAACTCAAGGCCTGGGAGGGGAGGAGGATCTTTTGTTGTCAGAAAGAGCTTCGGGAGCATGGATCAAGAATGCAGCCCCAACTGCGGCTGAGGCGGCCAAGCTCCAGAAAACCTTCCCCGATCAAAGAACTGGGTCATGTGGGAGCCAACACTGTTTAAAAGGGAGAACCAGTCGCTTTCTCCTGGGAGCATTTGTGGGGGATGATTGTCACTTCAGAACCTTCTTTGCTAAGGCCCTGCTCAGATGGGTCACTGTGGTCTAGCTCCTCCAGTACTGGGGACCATGAATTCTTGGGTGTTGCCGAGCGATCAGGGAGCTGGGAGGGGGAGCTAGCACACCGTTGAAGCAGCTTACTTTCACAGCTGAGCCAGCCCTGCGGAACAGGTGCTTTTTAAAAAGCCTGTGAAAGTAGAGGCTCCCACTCGGCAGGGAACAGTCACACAGGACAGTTAAAAGTGGCTTCCCAACTTCCGCGGGGCGCACGAGCCAGGGTGGAGACAGGACGATCGGAGAGTTTGAGAAAGGCCTGGATCTCCCTGAAAGACTTCCCGCAACCCAACGTCCCATCACCGTCCCCGGCGCACACGTGAGGCTCAGCAAAGCGTGCCACCTGCCGGGGTCCGTGCAAAATAAGCCCGGAGAGGAGAACCGCGGAAAGCACTTGGGGGAGGGGGGGAGGTCCCGGGGCTGGGCCTGGGGTTTCCCCCACGTTACTCTTCGCTCCTCGGGGGCGCAGAGCGCAGGGCGAAGGGCGCGGAGGACGCGGCTGGCCGGGCCCCGCAAGTTTTGGGTCGGAGAAGTGCAGGCGGGCCAAGGTAGGGCCGGGCCGGGCAGGGCAGGGCTGGCCCTCGGATGGGCTCTGGGCACGCGGAACGGGAGGCAGTAGGGCGCGCCCTCGCTCCCCCTGGCGCAGCGCGGCGCCCGGGTTGGGTGTGGGAAGAGTCGGGAAACTCACAGCCGCTTGTCCTCAGGCTGCAGCTGCTGGTGCATGGCGAGAGAGAAGCCGAAGAGACTCCCGGGATCCCCCGATTTCCGGATCACGTTGTCCTCACGGGTGTCCAGGTTGAAGGCTGCGCCCAGACGGGCCAGAAGCCCTGCGGACAGGTAGAGCAGGCACAGCCGGCCCGCGACCGCCATGGGCGCACGCGATGGGAGGGACGCAAGGAGCTGCTGCGGCCGCCGTGCGCGCGGGCTCGGGGCCGGGGCCGGGCTGCCTGGCGCGCCTCTGCGGCCACTTCGCCTCGGTCGCCCTGCGCGCGGCCCCACCCCCGGCCGGCTCGCGCTCTCCGTCCGGCCGCTCCCCCACGCCTGCAGCTCGCAAGCGCTCAATGAGCCCGTTGTTCTCTAGAGACTCTCAGGCGTTTTATCAAGTGACGAGGGCGCCGGCCCCGCCTCGCCCCGCCCCGCCCCGCCCGAGGCCCGGCCCGCCTAGGGCACCTTCCTGCCGGCCCCGCCCCGCAGCGGCGCACCCGCAGCTCCCTCCCACCGTCCCGCCACCTGCCCGGAAGGGCCCCCTGCGTCCCGGAGTCCAGGAATGCTACCCGGGGCGTCTTCCTACCTGTCACCGAAGTGAAGTCCAGGGCGCCTGAAGCCGGCAGTTCTAGGAGCTGTGGGCCGATGTACAAAGTCTTACTTGGCTCATCCATTCTGCAGGGGTTCAAGACGCACCTAACCGTGCCCAGCTCTTGCGGATGGATTGGCGCCACATACTTGCTGGCTCCCCAGGCACTCGAGCGTCGAAAACGTGACACTAGCACACTTCGATAGTACTGTGCCGTCTATCTCGTTCAATCCTAGGAAGTGGGATTCCCTTGGCAGATGAGGAAAGAAATGGAAACTCAACCTTGCTGACTCTGAGTCCTTTGATGTGGGGCTCTGGAGTTCAACTATTTATTGTCCCCTTTAATACCCAAATTTCCTGGTTTAGTTAGAAGAACTGCCTAGAGATGCTCTTAGGTCCGTGTGGGGTGGCTTGAAGGCTGTGCCACCCGGGCATAGGGTGAGGCTTCCAGGGAGGTGTTGGTTTTTGAGGCATCCTTATTTTAGGAAAGAAAAACTTGTTTCAAGGATATGAAGAACTTGGCTGAGAACAAAAGTGTACATTTTAGTGTCCCATCGTCCCCAACCCCCAGACAGTGTTTCTCTGTGTAACAGCCCTAGCTGTCCTGGAATTAGCTCTGTGAACCAGGCTGGCCTCGATCCACCTGCTGACTGGAATTAAAGGCATGTACCTCCACTACCTGGCATTAGTGCCCCACTTTTATTACCCTCTGACATTTAGCACTTTTTTTCATTATGAATGTAGGCAGAAAACCACAAAAGCAGGAGACTATGTTATCAAAAATCCAGTCATCAATAGAAAATAGTTTTCTCCAGGTCATTAGGTTGTTATAGATGTCTCAAATTACAGTTGTCATCATGTAACCCTCTGCTAGATCTTGATGTATGTCAATAAAGAAGCCACAATATATTACTATAGCAAAAAAAAAAGTTAACTTTCTGAGATTTTTAAAAATATAATTGGTTTTCTTCTTAAAATACATATGTTGATGGGGCAGTGGTGGTGTATATGTTTAATTCCAGCACTTGAAGATAGAGGCAGGTGGGATCTCTGTGAGTTTGAGGCCATCCTGGTCTACAGAGTGAGTGGACAGCTAGGGCTACACAGAGAAACCCTGTCTCGGAAGAAGAAGAAGAAGAAGGAGGAGGAGGAAGAGGAGGAGGAGGAAGAGGAAGAGGAGAAGGAGAAGAAGAAGAAGCCGTCCCCCCCCCACAAAAAGAGAGAAAGGGATTTTCTGTATTTGAATAATTCAAAATAGTTCTAGTTTTACCAGTATCTTAGTTTTACCCATATACTTACGAAATAAAAATTTTGTTTATTTAATATCTCACAGTTAGTAGGTGTCTTACTTAGGTTTTTATAGCTGTGAAGAAACACCATGACCACCACAACTCTTATAAAGAAAACATTCAATTGGGGTGGCTTGATTACAGTTTCAGAGGTTCAGTCCATTATCATTATGACAGGGAAAATGGCATCGTGCAGGCAGATGTGACTCTGGAGCTGAGAGAGCTACACCTTGAAGGGAACAGGAAGTTGACTGATAGTCACACTGAGGGAAGCTTGAGCAAAAGAGACCTCAAAGCCCACTCCCACAATGACACTTCCTCCAACAAGGCCACACCTCCTAATAGCATCACTCACTTTGGGAGGGGGGGTGCATTTTCTTTCAAACCACCACAGTAAGGGAATTTTCAAATATTTTGAAAGTACTGGTCACCCATAGAGAAATGTGGAGAATCTGTGCCATGTCCAATATCGTTTCAATTCCCTGGGAATCTGAATCATTTTGCTATCAGAGAATATCCAATTTGCTGCTTTTTATGCAACATAGAAACCCTTGCATTTTGGTGAAACATCATAACCCAGGCTTACACTTCCTGGGAACTCTTCAAGGAGAGGCCATGTGTCAGAGGTCAGCACAGTCTGTGGGACCTTGTTCTTGCCTCACATCCTGCCTCTGCCTTATGTGAACCATGTGGTCCTTCATGTTTTCATTTTCCCAGCTCTGCAGTGTGAATAACCTGCCTTACAGCTGCATAGCTATAGTAGGGGTTAACAGAGTCAGCGAGACATGATATGGCGAGAATGTCACACTAGTACCAGCCGCCACTCAGGCTCAGACTTTCCGATATGACAGGTCTCAGGTGCTAGGCATGCTGACCCATATTATAGCTTTGTAAATAAAAAACAGACATTAGATGGTTCCAAATGAGGCAATTCTCAATGATACATGTTAGTTTGTGAGAGTTTTCCCATGGCACCTTTTTTCTTTTTAAAAATGTTAGGAGGTTTTCTCCTCCATATGGAACTGTAATAGTTCCTTTTTCTTTTTTTAAAGTTGTTTTATTTGTTCTAAATTACAGTGTATCTTACTGGGGCAAATATCTTGTTGGTTGAAGTCAAAAGAATCCCAACTGCCAGCTGTCCCTTATTTTAACACCCAGATCTATTTTAAAGTAAATTGCAATTGAATGTTTCTAATTCACTTACAGTGAGGTCATAAAAATGTTACAGACTGCAGAGTATTTCATGGTGCCATTTTAGGGGGAGATTTTTTTTCCAGAGAATTTTTCTAAGCCAGGAAGCCACATTTTGCCAGCCAGGAACAAATTTAAACCTTAAATGAATCATTGCAGTGAGTTCCCAACTCTTAAGATGAGATCTCCAAGTGGCAAACTTGGTTCTTCATCCCAGACGTTATTAGAAAGAAACACCTCTCGGGTCACATATTGGAAAAGCTAAGAAGGAGTTATTTTAAAATTAATTCATTGAAGGGAAAAATTACTTGCTTCGTCGGTCAGTCTTTTGTCTCCGTGACAAACTGTTTAGCTTGAGGAATTCTGGAAGGACTTACCTTGGTTTTCCGTTTAAAGACTCCAATCCACCTCTATCTCTTGGCTTCATTGTCTCTGGGCTCTAATGAGGCAGAGCATCATGGCGGATGGGTGTGGGGAGCAGAACTTTTGACTCCATGACTACCAGGAGGTGGACAGAGAAGGGTCCAGAACAAGAAACGGCGCCCAGGACAAGTTCCCAGAGACCTTCTTCGGTGTAGGCTCCACCCCCACGGGATTCCATCACCTCCGAAGAACTCTGTCAAATAGTGAATTCATCAGTGGATTAATCCAGTGATTAAGTCAGAGTCTCAGGACTGGAACTGGAGTTAAAGGCAGGTCTGAGCTGCCTTGTGGGAGCTGGGAATTGAACCCAGCACCCCCTAGAAGAGCAGCCAGTACTCTTAATTGCTGAGTCCTTTTTCCAGCCCTGGTTTTCTTTTTGAGAAAATGCTTATTTTTACTTTATGTTTACTTAAGTATATGTGCTCCAGGTGTGTGGAGGTACCTGAGGAGTCCAGAGGAGAGTGTCAGATCTCCTGGACTTACAGGTGGTTGTGAGTCACTTGACGTGGGTTCTGGGACCCAAACTCCAGTCTTCTACAAGAACAGAAACCTCTTAACCCCCGCTCCACCATGCCTGCCCCCTAGGACTCACCTGTAAAAAGTTCAGAATGCTTACGTGACCGGATCGTGAGAGAACTAAATGAGACAGTGTGTGGGAGATGTGTAGCTCAGCATCTACTCGTAAATACTCACTGAATAAATAAAGCAGCGGTGTGAAAACAACAGAGCAGAAAGCACCCCGGAAAACAAAAGAGATGTATCAGGCTGCAGGCATTAAACACAGATAATATAGGAATGAGATCACTTAGATTTCTCTAAGTAGAAATCATTCGTTGTGGTTAGAGCTTGTAAACAGCCCCTGTCAAACCATCGTTTCTCAGCACCTGAGGTTGTGTTTCTCGCTGGTTCGGGACAGTGTCCATCTTGCCAGTGTCTGCAGAAACAACAAGGCACACTGAATATGGCTTCCATAGCTGCAGAAGAGACAAACAGCTCAGGGAACCAGCTGGTTAGGAGGCCTGGTGGGAGAAAGAGGTGAAAGCAGAAGGACTTTTCTAAGAACTTCCTGAATCTTCCTCTTCTCACAATCTACTTGGTCAGGGGAAGAGTTTGTGCAATGCATTGTTCACTGCCAACTGAAAAAGCATCCATATTTTCTTTGGAGATTTATGTTGGTAATGCATATTGTTGTAGATATTGAAGAAGCTTACACTACTAAAAGAACATGCTGCCGGGCGGTGGTGGCACACGCCTTTAATCCCAGCACTTGGGAGGCAGAGGCAGGCAGATCTCTGTGAGTTCGAGGCCAGGCTGGACCGACAGCCTCCAAAACAATACAGAGAAACCCTGTCTCGTAAAAACCAAAAATAACTAAAAGAACATGCTATTGGGCAGAGAAATCAGACCCTACACTTAACTCTTCTTTAAAACCTTTGAATCTGAGGTTAGGCATATAAAGACACAGGCCTTAAGTCCTAGCACTCATGTGGCAGAGACAGGAGAAAGTGAGATAGTGAGAAGCCACTTGGACTACAAGAAACCCTCTCTCAAATTCAGAAATTTAAAAAAAAATGAATCTGGAAAGCAAGCCACTTGCCTATGAACAGTTGAGTTCTCAGTAGGTACTTAACAGATCTCTTCTACAGGCACATTAGCAAAACATTTAAAGACAACTCTGTGGAGTGTGTAATGTGAACTGCATAGAACAAATAACAAAGAGAAGAGGGAAGAATGCAGAAAGTTGAACCACTGACTAGCTAAGAATGTCCCTATAACAATGGCTTTGCTGTCCTAAACCACATGACCAAAAGCAAAGGGCCAAATGTTTCTATATTAGATGATGCATTTCTGGGCATTCCCTGGTGACAAAGGAGAGAACTTGGCTCATTGATGTTTATATCATATTTTTTTTTTAAATCTCTGGAAGTCAGGGTGCAGTGGTACATGCCTGTAATCCTAGCTCTTAGAAAGCGGAGGCAGGGGATCAGGAATAATCTATAGAAACCCTGAAGTCGGTGTATCTCCTCAAGACGTCTCCTCCGTCAATGTCTAGAGACATAGAAACTGGAATGTTTGTTGAGAGACACTGCCTGTGTCTGACCAAATTAAGAATCAGGATTTCCTGAGTTCTGCTTTCATAATACAGACCACTCCCTCAGGCCCCTCTTCAGCCTTGGCAGGCGAAGAGTCCACTGAGACCCCATTTCCTGCTTCCAAACATGGAATTGTACCCTCTTCCCAAGTGTGATCTTGATACAGTGTGTTTTCTGACAGGAAAAAAGCCACCAGCAACATGTTAAATTGGGATGTTTGTGTATAAACACATGCTCTTCCATCTATCTCCCTGCCCAGGGAAGGATATAAACTAAGGAAACCCACACAGAATGTGTGCCTTCCTAGAAGAGGGACCTTCCTAAGGAAGGTCCTAGGGAAGAGAGCCTCCACCCCACTGTTCTAGAACCTTACCTTCCTCAAGTAACCATGCCACCCCTGGTTGCTGGCGGTTGTAGAAACCGTTGGATCAATGACTCATCTGTTGAAATGGGGGTAAAGTACTGGAGAGAGAGACAGTGACCTCTTTGAGCTTGAGGGGCTTTTAGAATTTACTTATTTACATGCTGTAAGAAGTCCGAATGCCGTCTATTTCTCTGAGTCTTTGGTAAGGCTCTGTTACAGTAAGCTGATGGCAGCCCTAGTAATCATAATCAATTTCAATCTGGGTTTGTTTAGTTTAGAGTTCTGAGACAGGGTCTCACTGTGTAGCCCAGGTTACCCCTGAGTTTATGATCTTCCTGAACCTTCCCAGTGCTGCAACTGTCACCATGCTCAGGCTCCATCTATATTTTTAAAATAATTAAAATTCAGGAAAGTGGGATGGGGGGTGGCTGGAGAGATGACTCAGTGGTTAAGAGCACTGGCTGCTCTTCCAAAGGACCCAGGTTTCAATTCCCAGCACCCACATGGCAGCTCACAATTGTCTGTAATTTCAGTTGCAGGAGATCTGACATCCTCACACAGACATACATGGAGGCAGAACATCACTGCACATAAAATAAAATAAATAAATCTTTTTTTAATTCAGGAAATGGAGTTATATATTATTTTATAAACATATTCCAAAATTCAAGTAGCTTAAA